CTGAAAATAGTCTCAACTGCGATATTTACATATGAATGGGTGGCGCTATTTACATATAAATAAGCCACGACTCATTCTCCCCAAAAAAGTGTCGTTAGAATGTTCGGGTTTCGCTTGAAGACAAGGTGGCAACTCTAGAATGTGCACAGTACGCAACATCGCAAGTAGCCAAGACCTCACAGCCATCTAGAGCAGTGGTTCTCAATCTGTGTAACCTCAGGACCCACATTTATCCTTGGTCATTAAGTCGTGAACCAAGTCTGCAATGTCTGCACTGCAATGGAACGCACAGCATTAGGGTACCACGTGTTCTGGTGTGGGCGTACAAACTGTGGGTGGGCGCTGCATTTGGTGTACCAATCAAATAAATAGCAACGCAACACACCTCCCACACCAGAATGCATGGTAGGTGCAACTGGGTGGTACAGCGCATTAATCACATGGTACTATGCAATTAACGCACTGTACTAGAGTGAACAAGCCCTTTTTTTTTTTAAGGTCCACCAAGTCTCCCTACCTTACAAGAACTGGAGTGGATCCTCAGCCTGGGGTCCAGTGTGGGCTGCTTTGCTGTTGCGGAGCTCCATCCATATATACATTGCTTGTACAGCTCCCATACATGCCCTGTAGAGATGCCAGGAGCCAGAATGTGATGCCATTGGACCTGGCACCCCTATCAGACACTGAGGGAGCCGTAAGCAATTCACGTATGGATGGATCTCCCTCGTGGCCATACCCCCAATCCCATCTCAAGCTGACACTATGCGCCGGGCAGCATATTTTGAATGGCTGCTTGGCACGAGAACTGACATTGCTGCGCTAGGGGGAGGCAGAGGAGCCTCTCACCTAGAAAAGTGGAAGGCACGCGGCGACCCACTGAACACGGGCTTGCGACCCACTTTTGGGTCACGACCCACCAGTTGAGAACCAAGGATCTAGACAACATAAAGAAGAACTCCAGGAATTGTTTTTATTAACCCATACGTGGGGGCTAACCCTGCACTGCAAGGGTTACAGGATATTTAAACCCTCGGGTTTTTGCATTTATCTGCTACTAGCAGGCAGTAACTATATGCAAAAAATTTTTTTTTTAAAGTTACGAAAAAGGTTTAAACTTACCTGTGTCTCTTACTTACCGTCCGAAGATCTGAATGGGGCGGGGGGTATTGTGACTTTAATGTCACTTTAACTGCTCGTTTGTCTAGGTTAAAAAAAAAAAACGACCAAGTTATACTCACCCAAAGCTCTGAGCCCACTTCTTCTTAGACCGGTCCTTCTAAAGTCTCTCCCCCTCCTCTGCAGCCGCCTAAAGTCCCGTTAATCATCAACGTCTATACACATATAGACATGAGGAAGAGTCCAATGCTGCAGAGAGAGGGAGACAGGCTGTAGAGAGTAGCCGTGGCAGTTGGCCAGTTTGGAGCTTCGGGTGAGTATAACTTTGTTATTTTAGCACCTAGACACAAATGAGCACCTAACCCTTGCAGTGCGGTGGTAGACACACTGCAAGGGTTAGGGGAAAAAAAGCAGAACTCCAGGGGAAACAAATGATAACCTTTGCAGTGGGGCTTTCCCTGAACTCATCTGATCCTCGGAGCTGGCCAGCTCTTACACTGGTCCCTGGAGCCTCTCTCCCCCTCTGCTGCAGCGGCCTAAAGATCCTCCAGTCATCACATACTATACACATATACCATCGCTGCAGCGGAGGAGACGGAAAGCTGGAGGTTCAGGTGAGTATAACTTTTTTTTAAACCTAGGCATGCATGAGCATTTAACCCTTGCAGTGCAGAGGTAGCTCCACTGCAAGGGTTAAGAGTTCTGCTTTAAGAGCACTGTGCGATTGAGTTTGCTGTTGGTTTCGTGAGCAGAAAAAAGAAAGAAAGCAACCATTCAATGTGCCATCAGTAACGTTGAAGGATATTTCACCAAGAAGATGTATATAATGAAAGGGGGGATGTAATATCCAGGGAGGTAGAGGGCCGAAACAGGGATACGGGAGTGTCCAGGGAAACCTTGAGTGACCAAAACAGGAAAGAACACACATACACACAAAGGTTGAACTTGCTGGACCTGTTTCTTTATTCAACTTCAATATTATGTCATTACTGTAGAAAAAAAAAAAAGTGGCAAGGAAAACAAAGTGGGTGAGGAGAAGGGGGTGGTCTCTTAGATGAAAAGGGTCGCAAGTTTTGTTGGTACTCTGTAGAGCCTTGGTCCTCAACTGGTGGGTCGTGACCCAAAAGGGGGTCGCCCCCATGTTCAGTGGCTCACAGCGTGCCTTCCACTTTTCTAGGTGAGAGGCTCCTCTGCCTCCTCCTAGCGCAGCACTGTCAGTTCTTGCTCCAAGCAGCCACTCAAAATATGGTGCTCGGGATGTAATGGGGCCAATGGCCGCGAGGGAGCTCCATTCATGTGTGCATTGCTTACAGCTCCCTCACATGTCCTGTAGAGGTGCCTGGACCGGAGTGACATCACATTCTGGCACCCAGCACCTCTACGTGGCACACAAGGGAGCTGTACAAGCAATGCACATATGGATGGAGCTCTGTTACAGCACAGCAGCCCACACTGGACCCCAGGCTGAGGATCCAATCCAGTTCTGTCAAAGTGACATTAAAGTCAAAGATTTTTTTCCCTCCCCCCCCCAATGTTAATTAAAGCACTTACCTTAAATGATGTCTCTTAATCCGATCGTCTACTTTCCCGTCGCTTTCATCTGTCACCTCCAGCGCTGCTGCGGGTCTCCAATCCAGCGCTGACTCCTCTGTCCTTGCTGGCACTTCCTGTCTGCATGCGGGTGCACGCCATCCATATACTTACCTTGTGTCTCTCCTCGTCTCCCGGCCAAAAATGTGAACTGCGCATGCGCCCGCCCCAAGAAGCTTTGCGGCCGCCTGAGAATTTTCACATTTTCAGACAGGAGCTCGCGGGGAAGACACAGGTAAGTTTAAACCGCCTTAAAGCGTTTTTTTTTTTTTTACATATATCTACTGCTTGCTAGCCTTATATATATGCAAAAACACTGGAGGGTTTAATAACCTAAGTACCCTTTAAGGTAGGGAGACTGGTGGACCTTAAAAAAAAGTGTGAGTGTAAGATTGTGTCTGTGGTTGTGTATGTACGTCAGTGTTTTTGAGGGCCCATTCACACTAGTACAGTGCCTTAATCACATAGTGCCGTGCGATTAACGCACTATACCACGTAATCGCACCCACTGTGCATTCTGGTGTGGGAGGTGTGTTGCATTGCCATTCATTTGAATGGTACCCCAAACGCACTTCCCACCCACAGTTCATACGCCCACACCAGAACGCACGGTACCCCAATGCCGTGCGTTCCATTGCAGTGCGACTTTGGTCGCGACTTAATGACCAAGAACAAATGTGGGTCCTGAGGTTACACAGGTTGAGAACCACTGCTTTAAAGGATAGGACAGTCTCATTGGCAAACATTTTTATAAAGAGTTGAAGATCGCAGTTCAACAATGAAATAGGCCTGTAACTGGCACATATGAGGAGATCCTTATCTGGTTTAGGGATCACAGAGATACTGGCTATCAGCTTGTCAGAGGGAAGGGTGTGACTTTTCATTAAACCACCAAAGGCATCTAAGAAATGAGGCGAAAACTGAGTAAGTAACGTTTTATAATAGACCAAGGGAAGGCCATCCGGTCCATGAGCCTTACCTCTAGAGCCTGGGTTCTCAAGTGGTGGGTCGTGACCCAAAAGTCGGTTGCGACCCCTTGTTCAGTAAATCGCCGCATGCCATCCACTTTTCTAGGTGAGAGGCTGCTCTGCCTCCCCCTAGCACAGCACTGTCAGTTCTCTCGTCAAGCACCTATTCAAAATGCTGCCCGGCGCTGAGTGTCAGCTTAAGGTGGGGTGGGATGGGGCTATAGCTGCGAGGGAGCTCCATCCATACGTGCATTGCTTACAGCTCCCTCATGTGTCCTGTAGGGGTGCCTGGACCGGAGTGACATCACATTCTGGCTCTCGGCACCTCTACAGAGCGCGCAAGGGAGTTGTACAAGCAAAGCACATAAGGATGGAGCTCCAGCACAGCACAGCAGGCCACACTGGACCCCAGGCTGAGGATCCACTCCAGCTCTTGTAAGGTAGTGAGACTTGGTGGACCTTACATTTTTTTTTGCAGTGTGTATATGTGTGTGAGAATGTGTATGTATGTCAGTGTCTTTGAGGGCTCGTGCACAGTACGTTAATCACACTGTCCCATGTGATTAACGCACTGTACCATGCAATTGCACCATCTGTGCATTCTGGTGTGGGAGGTGTGTTGCGTTGCCATTGATTTGAATGGTACCACATACTCACCTACCACCCACAGTTTGTACGCTCGGTACCCTAATGCTGTGCGTTTCATT